CCTTCTGGCAAAGCTGAGATGTCATTCAAGTGGTTTTCTATTTACCGCTCTCTCATAAAGCTTATGAATCACCCAGCTAACTGTTGTTGTACACATAATGTCTCCCGTCTCTGCCACGGCCCCTACAGGGCCTCATGGTGGCCACCATCACTAGTACCTGTCTTGCATAGAGACTTTTGGAGACAGCCTGCACTAGAATGATCTATAGCTGTGTCATACTCAATTCAGTTTTGGAATAACTGACCTTTGCTATACACTTAAGGATATTCAGTGGCTTGGAGTTTTTTTGGTGCCCCTCCCTGATTGATACTTTCAGTGAATCAAGTTATTTTTTAAAAACGTCCTTTTGTCTTCATTCATCATAGTTTTTGGAAGGAAATGGACTCCGGTCTGAAGGAGCTTACAGATACTGGTGTATTTGATGTAAAATCACTTCACACAGCTGGACTGTATTTCTGGACAACGTCTATTATCAATATCTCCACATGGCCTCCACATTTTATTTTATTTTTTGCAAAAACACAGAAACTGTGGAGTTTTTTGCGTGATTAAGTGAAGTGCCTATTATACAAAATCTTATAAGTCTGGATTTGGTGGGTTTTAAAATGTATGAACCCTTTGTAATGAATATGCACTATGTTCATAATTACAGTGAAGGAGTTTCTTGCCAAAGCCAAAGAAGATTTCCTGAAGAAATGGGAGAATCCAGCACAGGTGAGAGAGTGAAAGAGGATTGCTTCTCCTTTTTTGTTTAAGCATTATTATCTTATTGGCTTTATTCTGTTATTATTTTCATACAGTGGTATTGTGCTTTTGCTAATAGTGTTTTTAATGTTGTGTGTTGAGACACCTTAGTGGGATAATCTTATAATAAATCTTGAATAGACTTGAGTTCTGTTTTCACATGCTTGTTCACTCTGGCAGGCAGACTAATGGAAACAGTCCCACCCCTGAACACAAGTCCTATTTATTTTAGCATGGCAGAGCACCCTCTGCTGGGCTAATGTGAAATACATGTTGTTTTGATTTTACCAAAAGTGCACCTCTAATATAGACTCAATAAACAAAACAACAACATGTCTAATTCACATGAAAACAACAAGGACTCTACTTAATAATACTTGTTATTAAGATGACAGTACATTTTACTCAAGGTATTTAGGGGAAACGGTGAACTAAAAGTAGGATTATGTTGCTTGCAAGTTATGTACCCTCTCCTCTTATTGACACCGTCTTCTGCCCCTCAGCAAACTGCGGCATTGGACCACTTTGAGCGTTTGAAGACCTTAGGCACTGGTTCGTTTGGTCGAGTCATGCTGGTTAAACACAAAGAGACGGGCCAGCATTTTGCCATGAAAATACTTGACAAACAGAAGGTACAGTACTTCTAGCATTCAAGAGAAAAAAAACTACTTGGTACATAAATGCAAAGGATTGACAGCTTGTATTACTGACATGATGCTAATGTTGTTTTTCTTGAAATGGTATTAGTAAGTGTACCAAGACTTGGACAATGTTAATGAGTGTTTATATAAACACTTACACTTTGAAACAGAGAGCCAGGAATAATCCACACTTACTAACAAGTATGCAGACTTGAGTTGACGACAAAAACTGAATTTTTCTAGAAAAACTGTCCAACTATTTAACCTTCGTCATCACCAGTATAATGTCACAGTTATCTCTGATCTATGACGTCTCACTAGCTAGCGGCTCTTTGGAGAAGTGACTGTGACAGAATCCAATTGTTTTAGGTTTGCTGCAAGCACATCTTTTGATGGGAGAATCAGTCTTGGAATGGGATAAAGATCACTTTGTTGAAAGTTGAAATGTCCTAAAGTGCCATGAAGATACACTTCAGTTTATTGTCACTGAAAGAGTTCCTGTCTTTACGGCCTGTTGATGTTACCGATTATGTCAGACTTAGATGAAATCATATGTGGAGATGTAAGAATTTGTGTTCACATGCTAGTTTGGTTGTACTTAGACACAGGAATAACATTTAATCAAGTATGTGTCTTTTTTTTGTTTCTATAATATGTATGAAGAGCCCTTTTGACAACCTATTTAACCCTAACCCTAGGTAGTGAAGCTGAAGCAGATAGAACACACACTGAACGAGAAACGTATCCTGCAAGCTGTCAGCTTTCCCTTTCTGGTGCGACTGGAGCATTCTTTTAAGGTATGCATTTAAAAGTTCATCTGTTTACCTTCTAAGCATGTTCACACACACGTGTTTTGCATGTCAGAGTGAGACTTTGCTCATCTCTCTACAGGACAACAGTAATCTGTATATGATAATGGAGTACGTACCCGGGGGCGAAATGTTCTCACACTTAAGGAGAATCGGTAGATTCAGGTGAGTTCCCTTTTACTCGACTCATAAAAATGTCCATGCACCAATGGTTGACTGTAAACATTGTGCGTGATCTGTTTTGTAGTGAACCACACGCCCGCTTCTACGCAGCCCAGATTGTACTGACCTTTGAATACCTTCACTCGCTGGATCTCATCTACCGAGATCTTAAGCCGGAGAACCTGCTCATCGACCAGCAAGGTTACATACAGGCAAGGATCTGTTTCCTTAGATATTGACTACAATTATGGTTGATCGGTCTCTGTGCTCTTACAGTACGTGTGGTCAGTGCTCAGACCTGTACACTCTGTTATGCAGGTAACAGATTTTGGATTTGCAAAAAGGGTGAAGGGCCGAACCTGGACGCTTTGCGGGACCCCAGAGTACCTGGCACCAGAGATCATCCTCAGTAAGGTAAGCGCTTAGCTCGGCCAATAGTAAACAGCACTGCTCCTTATTTCACAAGGGCAGGGGAGTTCTCAGCTCAACATGGGACTCTAACTCAATTTTATGCTTGAAGTCTA